ACATTTAGCAAATATTAATGGCACATAAAAAGAACGAAAGGGACAGACTCGATATTACAATATGGGGTAGTTTGTGTGTCTGGCCACATAAATTCCTACATACCTCTCCAGCACCACTCACCTGGAGAAGTGGATATGGATGCCAGCTACTGTTTTTTCTCCCTTCCCAAACAGATACAGCTTGGCCTACAGCTGCACTGCCCCATACCAAGGAGACTTCACCTGACACCTAACTCCTGACAGGGCTCTGCATCCTTACATCAGTAACAGAAGCTGGTTGGGGATGAAAAATTGTTAACTGCAACTTCTGAAAACCTTTTCAGAAATAAACTTTTCCTCTATTCCAAATCTCAAGGTCTTTCAACTAGCCTACCGTAGAGTTTGAGGAGTGTTAAAGTTAGGTCGAGGCTCAGCCACACGCTCCTCCTCTTCTGGGCCGTCATCTTCCATGTTGGAGAATCCCATCTCATCTTGGAACTGTGGGCAAAGGGAAGTGAGGGTTTTCCTGGGGAATGGGTCTCGAATGTTGCTCCAGTATTGGAAAGGAAGAGTGAAAACTACAGATTACAAGACTTTAATAATGCTGGCACCCAGAAAGAGCCAATGTCAGAACCTTCTCACTTCAGGACTCCCACAAACCCACACTTAGGATGGCTATTATGCCAAGAAAGAAGTCGTTCAACCAGTCAACTCGTAACAGTAAGGACAGAGCATGGATAACTCAAAATTATCAATCTCTCTCTTTTTTTTTTTTTGAGACGGAGTCTTACAGTCTTGCTCTATTGCCCAGGCTGGAGTGCAGTGGCACGATCTGGGCTTACTGCAACCTCCACCTCCCAGATTCAAGTGATTTTCCTGCCTCAGCCTCTGCAGTAACTGTGACTACAGGTGCCTGCCACCATGCCTAATATTTGTACTTTTAGTAGAGACAAGGCTTCATCATGTTGGCCAGGCTGGTCTCAAACTCCTGACCTCAGATGATCCACCCACTGTGGCCTCCCAAAGTGCTGGGATTACAGGCGTGAGCCACCACACCCAGCCTCAAAATGATCAATCTCTTAAAGAGAAATACCTTTTGAGACAAATTTATGAAAAAGGTAATTATTTGTGCACAAAGTAGTTTAAAACTAGTTGACAATCTTTAAGGACACACCAAATGACAGTAGGGGAAGTCATCAAAAATTTTCAAGGGGCCAGGCATGCTGGCTCATACCTATAATTCCAGCACTTTGGAAGGCCCAATGCAGGAAAATTGCTTGAGCCCAGAAGTTCCATAACAGCCTGGGCAATGTGGTAAGACCCTGTCTCTACAAATAAAATAATTAGCTGGGTGTGTTGGTATGTCCCAGCTACTCACGAGGCTTAGACAGAGGACTGCTTAAGCCTAGAAGGTCAAGGCTGCTGTGAGCTGTAATTTCACCACTGCACTTTAGCTTGGGTGATGGAGTGAAATCCCCCTCAAAAAAAAAAAGTTTCAAGGAAAATGTTAATAAGAACAACATACATGTATATAATCAAGAGTCTAGCAGTTAGAAAAATTCCCTTGTCATTATGTTCTTTCCCAGGTAGACTAAAAGTAGAATTGGTCCAGTCAGACCCCTCTCCTAGAAGGAGCATCACAGAGACCAAATGACACATCTTGCTGGAGAACTGACTTACAATCCCATGTTCTCACTTGAGGATCATTACTCACAGTTTCAAACAGCTCTTCCATCAGCTCATTTACTTCCTTTTCTGCAAGAAAGCCAAACAGTATGTTGTTGGTATAAATTAGATTTTACAATAAGGAAGAATTCCATGAAGACAATGTATAATGTTTTCAACAAGGAATGACGAATTCTTCATATCTATCCTTCTTTTTTTTGAGATAGGTCTCGCTATGTCACTCAGGCTGGAGCTCAGTGGCGCGATCTCGGCTCACTGCAACCTCTGCATCCCCTCCCTGGTCCAATCGATCCTCCCACCTCAGCTCCCCAAGTAGCTGGGACCACAGACGCATGCTGCCACACCCGGCTAAGTTTCGTATATTTTGTAGAGATGAGGTTTCACCAGGCTGGTCTCGAACTCCTGAGCTCAAGTGATCAGCCCAACTCGGCCTCCCAAAATGGTGGGATTACAGGCGTGAGCCACTATGACTGGCTATCCTTCCTTCATTTATTCAAAAACATTTATCGAGGCCGGGTGCAGTGGCTCACGCCTGTAATCCCACCACTTTGGGAGGCTCTCTACTAAAAATACAAAAAATTAGCCGGCCATGGTGGTGGGTGCCTGTAGTCCCAGCTACTTGGGAAGCTGAGGCAGGAGAACGGCTTGAACCCAGGACGTGGAGCTTGCAGTGAGCTGAGATTGCACCACTGCACTCCAGCTTGGGCGATAGAGCAAGACCCTGTCTAAAAAAAAAAAAAAACAAAAACAACAAAAAACATTTATGGAGCACTATGCTTTTTAGATGCTTGGGATACATGAGAGAATGAGAGAGGAGACAGAGATCTATTCGCATGAAGCTTAAATTCTAAAAGGAAAAAGACAGGAAAAAATGTGAGCTAGACGATTTTATAATTAGATGGCCTATCCAAATCCACACAGTACTGAATGGAATCAAGAGACGAGTCTCCTAGCCTGGGTAAAATGTTGAAACCATATCTCTACAAAAAAATTTAGCTGGGCTTGGTGGTGCACACCTGCAGTCCCAGCTACTCAAGAGGCTGAGGTGAGAGAATCTCGAGTCCAGGAGGCAGAGGCTGCAGTGTGGCTGAGATCATGCCCCTGCATTCCAGCCTAGGCGACAGAGCAAGATACTGTCTAAAAAAACAGAGACAGAGAGAAAGACAAGTTTCCAACAGGGTTTTATAGGACGCTGTCTTTGGATCTGAACTATTCAAGAACTCCATCAGTGACTTAAAAGACCCAGAGAACATACTTAACAAATCTGTAGATGATGTAAAGCTGAAAGGGACTGCCAATCCAACTGATGGAAAATTCAAAATTATATTTTCTCAAATCAACTGGATGGAACATATAGGGATAAATCTAAAGTTCCATGTTTAAGAATGTTTTTGTTTTTGTTTTTGTTTTTAAATAGAGACAGCATCTTGCTATGTTGCCCAGGCTGGTCTCAAACTCCTTAGTTCCAGTGATCCTCCCACCTTGGCCTCCCTAAGTGTTGGGATTACAGGTGTGAGCCATGGTGCCCAGTCCTACAGTTAAGAGTTTTAAAGATCAGTTTATTAACTACATGAAAAGGTGACGTGGCTTAAAAATAATGTGAAAAAGACCTGAAAGTTTTGGTTGGTACAAGAATCTGAGGTAAAAAAAAAAAAAAAAAAAAAGTTTTGGTAGACATCAAGTTCAAGAAGACACAGCTGCTCCAAAATAGGGCTCATAACCAACAAGGCAAACATATCACTGAACTAGAGCAGAGTCTAACACTATGTCTGCAAGACTGTGAACAATTTTATAAAGGCCCTTCTTAGGAGGACATTAAAAAAATTAAGATCCAGGCCAGGGGTGGTGGCTCACGCCTCTAATTCCAGCACTTCAGGAGGCCAAGGCAGGCAGATCGATCACCTGAGGTTAGGAGTTCGATACCAGTCTGACCAACATGGTGAAACCCCGACTCTACTAAAAATACAACAATTAGCCAGGCATGATGGCACACACCTGGAATCCCAGCTACTCGGGAGGCTGAGGCAGGAGACTCACTTGAACCCAGGAGGTGGAGGCTGCACTGAGCCAATAAGCACTAATGCACTCCAGCCTGGGCAACAGGGCGAGACTCCATCTCGAAAATAAATAAATAAATAGATAAATTAGTCGGGCATGGTTGCACATTCCTGTAATCCCAGCTACTTGGGAGGCTGAGGCACAAGAATCACTTAAACCCGGGAGGCAGAGGCTACGCTGACTGGAGATCATACCACTGCACTCTAGCTTGGGAGACAGAGTGAGACTCTGTCTCAAACACGAAAACAAAAACAAAAACAAAAACAAAATCAATTAAGTAATTTAATTTTTTTTTTAATTTTTTTTTTTTGAGACTGAGTCTCACTCTTGTCACCCAGGCTGGAGTGCAGTGGCGCGATCTCAGCTCACTGCAACCTCCACCGTCAGGCTTCAAGCAATTCTCATTCACCATGCCTGGCTAATTTTTTGTAGTTTTAGTAGTGATAGTGTTTCACTACGTTGCCCAGGCTGGTCTTGAACTCCTGACCTCAAGTGATCTGCCTGCCTCAGTGTCCCAAAGTGCTGGGATTACAGGCGTGCGCCACCATGCCCAGCCAACAAAAAAAATTAAAATCCAAATGTTGCTGAGGATGTAGAGCAAATGGAACTCTAATGAGAACGTAAAATGGAAAGCCACTTTGGAAAACGGTCTGGCAATTTCTCATAAAACTAAACATACCTATCCTGTGATCCAGTGATTTATCTCCTATATAGCTGACCCAAGAGAAATGAAATATGCCTTTTCTAATTCATAAGTGGGGACAAATGAGAGACAGAAATGAAGCATTTCCACAAAGACTTGCACAAAATAGTTCAGACCAGCTTTATTCAACATTACCCAAAATTAAAAACAGCCCAGATGATCAACACAAAAAATAGATAATCTGTAGTATATTTACACAATGAAATTATAGTCAACAATAAAAGGGAACAAACTAATGAATGCAACAGAAATGAATCTCAAAAATATTATGCAGAGTGAAAGAAGCCATACATACACACAAAGCACATGCTATATGATTCCATTTATGTGAGGTTCTAAAACTGGCAAATTTAACCTGTGATTAAGAAAAAAAATCAAAACAGTGGTTGCCTCTGAGGGGATGGTGTCGGGATTGACTTGGAAGGGGCATGAAACTTTCTGGGGTGAGGATTCTATATCCTGATAGGGATTTGGGTCACACAGGTATACACATGTCAAAATTCATTAAACGGTACACTTAAGATGTGTGTGATACACTGTGCGTAAAATCACCTATAAAAAGAAATCATAAACAAATATCGAGCTCTAGTTCATTATATGCGTGCTGAAGTGGTTAAAAGTGAAGTATAGGCTCATGCCTGTAATCCCAGCACTCTGGGAGGCAGAGGTGGGCGGATCACAAGGTCAGGAGTTCGAGACCAGCCTGGCCAAGATGGTGAAACCCCGTCTCTACTAAAAATACAAAAATTAGACAGACATGGTGGTGCGAGCCTGTAATCCCAGCTACTCTGGAGGCTGACGCAGGATAATTTCTTGAACTTGGGAGGCGGAGGTTGCAGTGAGCCGAGATCGTACCACTGCACTCCAGAGTGAGACTCTGTCTCCAAAAAAAAAAAAAAAAAAATGACATATAGTCAGGTGCCACTGTGCCATTGTGCACGCTTGTAATCTCAGCTGGTCAGGAGGTTGAGCTGGGAGGATCACTAGACTGCAAGAGTTCAAGACCAACCCATGCAACACAGACCTCGTTTGAATTAAAAAAAAAAAAAAAAATCCTCTATAGCACACAAGACTTAATTTATCTTTCCCAAACAGAAGGAAGCGTACATAACCTTTTAAAAAAAAAAAAAAAAAAAAAAAGGTGAAGTATAATTTACTCTGAAATGCATTTGAAAACTAAGATGCATCCACAGACGGACAGGGAGATGGACAGCTGCATGATAAGGCAAATAAAGTCATCCCTCAGTATATGTGGAGATTGGTTCCAGGAGCCCATGGATACCAAAATCTGAGGATACTCAAGTCTCTTATACAAAAATGGTGTAGTATTTGCATATAATCTACACACATCCTCCTGTATACCTTATCTCTAGATTACTTATCACCTAATACAATGTAAATGCTATGTAAATAGTTGTTATACCGTACTATTTTTTACTTATTTATTTGAGACAAGCTCTCACTCTGTCACCCAGGCTGGAGTGCAGTGGCAGTGGTATAATCACAGCTCACTGCAACCTTGAACTTGTGGGCTCAAGGGATCCTCCTGACTCTGTCTCCCGAGTAGCTGGGACTACAAGCACACACCACTGCACCCAGATAATTTTTAAACTTTTTGTAGAGATGGGGTCTCAGTATGTTGCCCAGGCTGATCTCAAACTCCTGTGCTCAAGCGATCCTCTTGCCTCAGCCTCCCACAGTGCTGGGATTACAGATGTTAGCCACTATGCCCAGCCAGTATTATTTTCTGCTGTTGCATTTTTTTTTTTCCAGAATATTTTCAAGGTTGACTGAATCTGTAGATGTGAAACCTGCACTTATGAAAGGCCCACAGTTTATATTAAACCTATCGAAAATTTGGCCAGGCATGGTGGTTCATGCCTGTAATCCCAGCACTTTGGGAGGCCGAGGTGGGTGGATCATGAGGTCAGGAGATGGAGGCCATCCTGGCCAACATGCTGAAACCCCATCTCCACTAAAAATACAAAAATTAGCTGGGCATGGTGGCGCGTGACTATAATCCCAGCTACTCGGGAGGCTGAGGCAGGAGATTCGCTTGGATCAGGGAGTCGGAGGTTGCAGTGAGCCAAGATGGCGCCACGGCACTCCAGCCTGGAGACAGAGCGAGACTCCATCTGGAAAAAAATAAAAAAACTATAGAAAGTAGGAGGTGAGGCTGGGCATGGTGGCTCACGCCCATAATCCCAGCACTTTCAGAGGCCGAGGCAGGCAGATCACCTGAGGTCAGGAGTTCGAGACGAGCCTGGCCAACCAACATGGTGAAACCCCTTCTCTACTAAAAACACAAAAATTAGCCGGGTATGGTGGCAGGGGCTTTTAATCCCAGCTACTCAGGAGGCTGGGGCAGGAGAACCACTTGAACCTGGGAGGTGGAGGTTGCAGTGAGCCGAGATCACACCATTGCACTCTAGCCTGGGGAACAAGGGTGAGACTTCATCTCAAAAAAAAAAAAAAAAAGTTGGTGGTGAGTACACGAATGTTAGCTGTATAATTTTCAACTTCTCTATATATATTTTTAAATTTCATAATAAGATGTAACAGAGGAAAAGTTTAAAGAAAATAAATGCTAGAAGAGTAACATGCGTGGTGAGAGGTTTGGACACCAAGGCTTTGGAGAAGAAGAAACCTCGCAGAAGAAACTTGAAACTTTCCTGTTTTGCATAGGAAAAAAAAAAAACCAACAACAACTTAAGAAACGTCTTTTAATATGGTACAGTTGGGGATAAATTGCTTTTTTTTAACAGCAAAAGACAAATAGGAGGCCGGGTGCAGTGGCTCATGACTGTAATCCCAGAACTTTGGGAAGCCGAGGCAGGTGGATCACCCGAGGTCAGGAGTTCAAGACCAGCCTGGCCAACCTGGTGAAACCCTGTCTCTACTAAAAATATAAAAATTAGCTGGGCATGGTGGCGGGTGCCTGTAATCCCAGCTACTCGGGAGGCTGAGGCAGGAGAAACACTTGAACCCAGGAGGCGGAGTTTGCAGTGAGCTGAGATCACACCACTGCACTCCAGCCTGGGCAACGACAGCAAAACTCCATCTCAAAAGAAAATAAAAAAATAAAGACAAATAGGAGGAATATAAGAGGATTGATCTTCTTGCTTTGCATTCAAATTTGCGTTCAATAAGGAAAGTATCTGAATTTGCATTCAGATTTGGGTTCAGTAAGAAAAGTATTAATTGAGGAGGTGTTCAAGTTTACAATACACTATCAGCAGAATCGTTCAGCTCCCTGTCACTGAAAGTATACAAACAGAGACTAAAAAGACCACCTCAGAGGAAGTGTAAACAAATTCTCGGCCGGGCGCGGTGGCTCAAGCCTGTAATCCCAGCACTTTGGGAGGCCAAGACGGGTGGATCACGAGGTCAGGAGATCGAGGCCATCCTGGCGAACACGGTGAAACCCC